TGATTTTCGGCCGGTCGATTGCTTCCCATTATGCTGCGCGTTGAAGGGTGTAACGGCTTTTGGTCGCGACTTCTTTGCCTTCGCCCTAACCGGAGCGTTCAAAGGGGTCTAGTAACTTCCGCAAGGGTCGGTTCGGCCTTTCACCGCTCTCTGTAGCCTGCGGAGCCCACTTATCGATCTCTTGATGTATATATATATATATGTGCATGCAAGCCAAACCTAAACCCTATAAGCCCGACGCCCTGAAGGGAATCCTAAACCCTAAACCCTTCACCCTGCGAAAGTCCCACTGCACCCTTACAAAAGAAGCCCTTGCCAAGGGTCATGGGAAAAATACGCCCTACGCCCTGAAACGAATCCTAAACCCCTAAGCCCCAAACCCTTAAACCCTAAGCCCGTATTATAAGCCCTATTAGCCCTGAAACGAATCAGGAGGTTCTCAAGCGGGAGTCCGATGCGGGATTCCATCCCGAGATTCCGAGGCCTCCCTGGTTTCCGAAGATAAGGCAGCTACCTCATTTTGGGGTCCTTATAGTAAGGATCCTATTATGTAGGGTGCTATATTAGGGTCCCCTATTTTCGGAAATCCCCCCCATTTTGGGGTGGGGCTTGCAGGCGTTTTCATTTAGGCTTAGGGTTTAGTCACGCAGGGGCAGGCTTAAGTCAAGACCCAAAAATCGGAGTTGAGGTCCTGGGGCTTAGGGTTTAGGGGTTAGGGGTTTAGGGTTTAGGTATTAAAGTGGCTGTGCTTCGCATTAGGGTGGCTGGCTAGAGCTTACGGGGGCAAAGACATGGCGATGTTTCTAAGTCCACTGCGGAAGTTGTGAGGTGTGCATGTCAACTAAAGTGCAGAGCCACATATTCCATAGGACCACAAAACCCAAACCATACAAAGTAAGCAACCATGAAGCTGATCCGTGGGTTTGCTTCAGCAACGACCCCAGTTTGAGCCGTAAGCGCCCAGCACATAATTGGTGAAGGTTTTGTGACTGTGATGCGCTGTTTATGACTGCTCTGAATCAGGCTGTTCATTCATCTTTGCCCTCGGCAATTCCATGAAGTAATTTGGTGGTGCCCGCTCATTACGCATGCTGTTATCAACAGCTACGCTTTCAACTGAGAGTTTGTCCTTTTGTGGATTCAACAGAGGCCAACACCCGAGTAAAGCAAGTTTCGTGGAACTTCGTCGTCTAGCGCACGCAAACCTGAACTCACCCCGTCAAGCCCAAATGTCTGAATCTGAGCCGTCATAGCGATTACTTTAAGATCGCAGCCGAATTTTGATGCTCTATAGCCGAAGCCCAAGCTCCAGAAAGCTTGTTCCGCTCCACCAAAAGAGGTTCGGGTTTGGAGACCCAACCTCTTACAGTATCGTCGAGCAGCTGGTGGTTGCGACTCTGGGCTTATAGGATTTAGGGTTTAGGGTTTAGGGTTTAGGGATGCCATTGAGCCATGTAGACTTCAGGTTCAAGGGCGCAGCTTGAGGCGACCTGATACCGATAGGCTCCATAGTTGTTCTTTTTTGGGATTTCCTTATAGCGTACTTATAAACCACAAGCAGGAACTGCTACGGAGTTTATGGGTATATGTAGGACGGAAGTCATACAGCTTGGAGACTTGGAATCCCGCCCCTGTGCCACGGACTATAATCTGCTTTCCGAGCCCGGGGGTTCGGGACTGCGCCAACCCATTGGCCCTGATGCAAAGAAAGAGAAGGGGCTCAATGGTATCGGCTGTACACCGTCGTCTAAGAGCTGCCGGCCCAGTTGACCACTTGAAACCTACATCTTACCTACAGGAAACTTGGATAACTCAGACTTCCACAGCCCGACATCTGTAAATCCCTAAGAACTCAAACTAGCGTATAGCCGAAACAGCGAGCAGCCCCGAAGCAAGAAATTCTAGACGATACCGTTGTTTGTTTGTCTCTGGATTCGAAGTTTTGGGATTGGCGTTTATTAGCGGTGAGGGCGTGGGTTACGGAACCGATTGAACCGATGTGTCGGGTGTGCCCAGAGAACCCAATACCCCTTAATTAAGGAATATACTTTAAATCATAATATTGGGGCCCCTATAATTTAAGGTATATTCCTTAATTAAGGGGTATTGGGTTCTCTCGGTGTTTGCAGGGATTTGGGGCTCCGAGTGCGTTTCATCGCGCCTTTCCGCTGAGGCGGAGCTTCTTCAGAAGGGCCGGCTCCTTCGCACATTGTTTACCAAGCCTTTTAGGGTTTAGGGTTTAGGATTTAGGGTTTTGGGGTTTAGGGTTTTATCAACCCAAAACCTGCAAACATGCGCTATATTGAAGCCTTAGCTTGCAGCCCCACGAAGCCCTAACGCTACACTCGGTCTTGTAGACTGGTGTGTTCTGAGGATGGGCCTCTTGGGAGCAGTTCGACATGGCGCGGAGTGAACCTTGGCCAAAGGGCCTTGATACATTAAGCCACTAAGCCCTGATGCAACGGTTTAGGGTTTAGGGTTTATAGGGTATTTTGATACATTAAGCCACTAAGCCCTGATCCAACCCCGAACCCAAAATTTCAACCTCAGTCTAAATCTTAACCTGAGAGCCGTAACCTCCCTGTCTCAAAAAGTTACGTGTTTGGGGTTTCATGTTTCTGTGGTGCAGCGGAGAAAGTCAGTAGGGCTCCAGCGTTTCCTCGTACACCTCCGATGCTAAACGAAGCTGAGCAAAGAACCCCAAGTCTTCTTGAGGCCCTAACTCCCCGCAGGCCCTATCTCTCAGCCCCACCAGGCCAACCAAGAGTGCTCGCCAAGCTTATTTTCTTAAGACCCTCCCTCCTAAATCTCAAGCTCCTGAGGTTTCAATTTCTACTTCCCCCAGGACGCGAGATCAGAGCTTCGGAAGTCGCCGGGTGGAGCGGTTCTACAATTCAGCTCTGTCGGACTTGACGGGTGATTCTGTCTCAAGAGGCTTAGTTTGGGGCCCGAGGTGCCATTCAAGGCATTCCTTTCTAGGGTTTAGGGTTTAGGGTTTTGCTGTTGCTAGGCTAGGTCGCAGCAGACGACTGGAAGGCAGAATCTTGCTTTCAGTCCCAAGCGCAAGCACCATTAAAATATAACACCCTGAAGCCAAACCCGCCCGGGGTCCTAGATCCCACGGACCCAGCCCTAACTTTGGCCCGAAGCTTCCCTGCTTGCTATAGGGGCCTTAACAATTAGAAGAGGCAATGGGGTCTATTTTGCTACAGTTATAAGAAGGAACACCCAAAACCCTATTCTAATAATCCCTAAACCCTAAACCCTAATTATTAAGGCCCCTAAACCCTAAACCCTAATTATTAAGGCCCCTAAACCCTAAACCCTAAGTATGAAGGCGCCTACATTACAGGACCTAGACGACGAGTTCCTCGTGATTTGGCCCGGCTTTGGAGCAGACCAGCCCTGGCAGCAACCTTCCGACACTGAGGTCCTAGGTTTTTGACATGTTTTAGGGGATTTTTTATGGGCCTAAATAGTTACCTAGACCTTATATTATAAGTATGGTCTAATATAACTATAATATAGCGGCCGAAATTATCTATGCTACTTTGGGGGCTCCTTATTCTGATTCTAGTTTAATTTTCCCCAAAACCCTACTCTAATTATAAGGCCCCAGTAGAGTGCAGGGATCGGGGTTGCATGTGAAGTTTCGGGCAGGGGTGTTTGGTTTGCGGTTGTGGAATCCTCCCTGTCGACGGGTTTGCGGCTTCGGAAGCGGGGATCATATATTCGTTGGGTCGCATGTGGGTGAGTTAGGAGGTGTTCACAGGTATCGGATGGATTTAGGAAGGTTCCGCTCGTGTTCCCAAGACCGGAGTTTTGTTGGTGAGCCGCCAGCCGAAGTACAGGACTTCTTCAGGCCCTTCTCTTCTTTGGACCCTAAACCCTAAACCCTAAACCCTAAACCGCAGGCCCTTCTTTTCTTTGGAGCCTTCTTTCAGAGGTCCGTCCAAAATGCCGCAACCCGAAACAGAAAGCCGGAGGCCAAAAGTCGATGCACAGAGCCTTCGACCCTAGGCCCATCCCAACTGAGGATTTAGGGTTAGGGTTTGGGGCTCTTTTGGGTCCTTCACGGAAGTCTGCTTCAAGTAGTCTGAAGACGTAAAGCTGCTATGCCTCAGCACAATGATGATGCATCTTGTCTTCATAATGTGCTTCCGGCGTTCGGCCTCTAGTCTAAGGCTTCAGAGCTTGTGCCTCTCTGCGTTTCTGCACGGAACCTGGTGTCCTGGACGCCCGCTCTTTCGCCCAGGTACCTTAGTGAATCCGAGCTGCGGGACTTTCTGCTTGATTGCGTGCAACGGGGCTACAGTTTTCCTCTGCGGCTCGCCGCAAGTAAAAACATTGACTGTCGAGCCCGAATGATAAGCTCTAGTGGCGGTTCTTGTGTTGGTTAGAGTGCCTTGAAACGACCCCCCCCCCCACATGTCAAATGTTCTCCCTTTGTTTACTATATGGTATCCTTGTGAAAACAAGCATTCCTTGTCATGGCAATGCGACCGTTCCGGAGTAGTGCAAGGAGTTTGTTGTCTGCCTCGCTTGATATTTCGACCCGAAGCCTGCGGCACCTGCAACCAAAATCAGTCAGGAATCCGAAGTGGATCATTTGCGATAAAGGCCGGCGCCTCCAGTTCGAGTCGTTAAGGCTTTAGGGCTCAAGTTGAGGATAGTTTGGCACAGAGCTCGGAGTTTGGGTTTCACGGCTTGTAGGATTTGGCTTCAAGGCATCCAGCCTCAAGAAGGCTTAAGAGATGAGTTTTGGAGTCTACCACAAAGGCAGGTCGCGACCCTGGAGCCGATGGCTTCGTCCTCGTTTTAGGGCTTTGCCAGGTACAAGGCATAAAGAGTTGATATCAGGAGACGATAACTTATGTTGATGATATGCTTCTTGCATGGTGCTGTCTGTTGGAAGCTTCCCGCACAGCCTGCACGGCGAGTAAAGCGAACATGGCAAGGAAGATAGGGTAAGATCCGATAGTCTTCAAGAAGAGGTTCAATTCAACGCTGACCCCCAAACCAGGTTCTGGTTGCGACTGGCGAGCAGGTCTGTTGGTTGCTACTCGTAACCCCCGGTGCAATACTTTTCAAGCGGAATTTGCATTGGTACGACTCTGTCCGGCGAAGCCTGAAGAACAGGTTGGCGAGCTGTTTTCCAACGGCTGAGTCACTCGGCTCGCACACAAGAAGCTGCATTTGTCACCGTTGTAGCTACACATGGTTCGAAGAGGTGATATATGTCAGCAGGTTGACGATTTAGGGCTAGGGGGCTTGAGGGATTGAGTGGTTGGAGCGGCTTGAGGCTACGAAGCCCGGAGCTTCACAATCGCTTGGATCCCTTTGGGTTTGTGTTTGGCTGCCTCAGAAGCACACGGAAAACTACGAAGGCTGAAAGCAGTGTTCTTGTACCAAGTGACTGCCAGACTGCAGTCCCAAGCCCTTCAACGCCAACAGCTGCCGTACAGCCCAGGATTCTCACCCCAAGGGAAAAAGCAGCTGGCTGCCTGGTTTCCGCCACTTGACTCTAGGGACTCTAGGGTGGCTTGGGGTTGCGGTTTTCTTATATGACACCTTCGAGGAAAGAGCCGCTTCGGATTTGGGGTTTCGAGTTTCGGGCTTATGGGTACCAAGTGCAAGAATCAGTCCTAGCTTTCTGATTCAGAGAGGATTTCGTACACCCGAACCTTTGTTACGACAGCTCTCTTCAGGTAGTTCTGGTGTTTCCCTTGACTGATCGAAGGAGGTTTTGGAGGCTGGGCTCTAACGCATTTTGGACCCTAAATACATCCAAAACCCGCTACCACGTAACCACCCGCGTGCTACGAAACCCTTGGTTTCAAATCTCAAGACTTGATTGATGATGATAACGACGACAATCATCGCCAGCATCACCATCACCTCAATGGCTAAACCTTCTGTAAGTACACTTTTAGGTCGTGATCCTCATTTCCCGTTTATTTTGGCCACTCTTGCTACGGTGAGATGGGTGTGGGGTTCATATAAAGGACCATGATTCTGTCGTGACCAGTGTGTAGAGTTGCCCCTCTTGTGGTGATGGTCTTGCTGTTCGTGGCGGTACAATTCTGTCAGACATCTGTCGACCCCGCAATGCACGACTGGACCAAGCCTGGCACCTCAGGTTCGTGAAGCAGCTGAACCCTAAACCCTAAAGCCGGAAACCCTAAACCCCTAAACCCTAAACCCTAAACCCTAAACCCTAAACCCTAAACCCTAGCATGCTTAGCCTCAACTAAGCCCACTGAGCCCCTGCCAGCGGAGGCAAACGAAGCCTAAAGCCCCAACAAAAAACCGCAACCCCAGACTCAAAAGCGCGGAATCGCGAGGGCCCTAAGCACCCAAACTGCAGAATGTCTCACCGAGAGGCCCGGCTCCAAACTGAGCCCTGGCCGATAGAAGGGGTTGGGGTTTGTTTTGGGCTTTGGTTTAAGGTTTTGGGGTTCCACTTTTTGGTCTTTAGGGCCTGTCCACAGGGTTTAGTATGCGGGTCGATTTTGAGTGAGGGTCTGAAAATAACTTAACGGCATAACGACACCGAACATGACGAATCTTGAAACCCCTGAAGATACTGGTATCGAGCAGGGAGGTCAGGTCGACCCCCTGTGTTGACCATGATGCTCTGTAGCTGTCACCGAATCTGATGTCGAGTTTCGCATCCTCGCTTTGGTTTGCATTTCTTTAGGTTCAACACTGATGGGTTTGATAAGGTTTGAACAGTTCCTGTGAGAATACGCGAGCTCTGGCCGAGACTGCTCATGTCTCATCACACGCTGTACATCCCCAAAACCATGAGTCCCAAAGCCACTGCGCTGGATCCAACAGTTCAAAACCCACAGCATTTACGGGCATGCAAGCAACAAGTCATGTTTCTTCCAAATAAGTGTAAAACCGACAGCCTCGAACAGCCGAGCCTGACACTTTTGAGTTTGGGATTCCTCCTCTCGCAGTCAGTGTTTTAACGTCTATAGGCCCTCCGTCCCCGATCCCGCAACACGGCGCATACTCTTTATTGGGGCCTGTGTGTCCACAATGGTGAGAATGCGAAGTTATGGCCTTACAGGCCACTACAACACACCGTCTAATTCCGAGGATCGAGCGAATCGAGGAGCTTTGCGACAAGTGCCTTGTCTTTAGTGAGCTTTAGTGGGCTATGGGGTGTAGGCTTCCATTCTGAACAAGTTGGCCGGCAACTTTCGCGGACGACGCCGGAGGACCACTGTCAGACATTTGGGCTGGGGCCGTAGCAGCTAGGATGCTTTACGAGTCCCTGGTCGGGCCGAACCCCGATGCCGTAATTCACGACACTAAATCGCAAGTGCCTAAAAGCCACAAGCAGTGAAGCCATAAACACCTCCCAAACCCTAAATCCCTAACACGCCAAAACGTCTGAGGTTTCCCGGTGGCTTTCAGAAACCTGAAGGCGTCGAGGAGCTGGATATCGACCTCGCTGCCCGCGCCCCAGACAGTGAGGCTCACTTCTCGGAGGTCTGGCGGAAGGTTGTGGGGTTAAGAAAGGGGCTTAAATTATTACCTATACTGTTTTGGGGGTTCCTTATTATAGTTATAGTATAATGGGCCCCAAAACCCTATTCTAATTATTAAGGTCCCAATATTAGGGCTTTGGGGCTAGGCGTTTCGGATTCGGGGTACCTGCACCCACAGCTCGAAGTATAACAGATGAGGTGCAGAACCTAACTCCTCAATCCCCCCAAAAGTGCATGCCTGCCGGGCGAACCCTAAACCCTGTGCCGTACACGGCACCAGAAACCCGGTTGCCCGGTTCGAATCGTCCTCCACTTTGAGCTTTCTGGGGAATTCGGTGTAAATGTTCGACTTGTTGACGAGTCCAGAAACGCGAGCACGCGCTTGAGGGTGTGTGCCGTCACTTCGTTGCTTTACACGCCAAATCGACCACGAAAGGGCAGATAGTAGTCCTAAATACTCAAATCCTGAACCCGAACTCTGCTCCAAATCCCCCCTAACCCCTCCCCCTCTACAGACTGAGCCGGAGCCCGAAACTCTAAAAGCCAAAAGTTTGAGCCGCAAGATTCCCGTCCTTGCAGGAGCTGCAGCTGCGTCGGTACGAGACGCTCCAGAGGGCCACCTTGCCGCAACCGCATGTCCTCGACGCCAAACCGTTAAGCCCCAAAACCCGACAGCCCCAAACCCTGTAGCCCTGCACCTCGAGCCCTCTACGCCTGAACCCCAAACCCAACATCCAGAATCATTCGTGCGTCGGTCGCTTCCTAATTTCTATACGGTCTGGGGCATCTTCGGGGAGGTTTGCTTGCGATTTTGGGTTGTCGGATGTCGTCGGTCTTTCGGGAAGAACAAGACTCAGGCTCAATAGTAGCCTAAATCCCTCAGACATATTTCCGACTTCCACCAGGTAACAGCTATACCCAATGATGATGAAGTCAGACGGTCGAGCTTGTAGCATGAGGCTACAGGTGAAGCCTTGTCAAGTTATTCCGGACGTGTCGTGGTCAAGCATCTACAGTAAGTAGCTTGACCACCCTGGCGGCTCCCCGGGCCCAGTGAGCAAAACAAAGCTCCACAGATCGGAAAGCTTAATCCCAACCGAAATGTGAGGGCGAGAATCTCTTAACGCCCGGAAACCGGAAACCCTAAAGCCCCAAGCCCGCAGAGCCCCAATCGCTGAAGCCTGGGCTCTGGCGAAGGCAAAGCGAAAGCTTCGAGTTGTCTTGAGATGGATGAAGCTCAACAAGGACATCCCAACCTGTCCGGGCTTGTTGCCGGTTTGGAGAGTGTCGGGGCTGAGTGTCCAAGCTGCTAAGACGGTCTTCGCCGTTCTCTGCAGTTTCAAGTTGAAGTATTGGAAAAGGCGGGGGAAGCGATCACTCAACCCTCAGAGCCCCAAGCTCATGTATACTCAGAACATGAGCCATGAAGCCCTACATGTAAAGTATCGAGGGTATTTCCG